TTTGGGCTTTTGGTATGTTATTATTTGTATATTTCAGGAACGGATTCCGTAAAATATTTATGTTAAAATTACTTCTGTGTTCATTATAATTTTGTCTAAAGATTGACTGGTTCGACTATAAAGCTAAGTCAATGTAAAACTGAAAAATACTCAGATTTTGGACTCATTTTTCGAATAGTCAACCCTCGTTAACCCTAAAATGACTTAGTTTATTATAATCCTTAATCATTTATTAATTGATATCTGTTAAAATTAGAATGGGCGTCGTAGCCAAAAAGAGGCCAAGTAGAGCATCTTATTCAAATATTAAAAAGAATTAAAGTCATGTCATGAGACTTTCATTCAGCCAATTTTTTATTATTCATTGTTTATTCACAATACCAAGTGATATACTTAATGTAAGACGCACCTCATTTTTTAATTACCTCATTTTTAATTGGCTAGTTATAACTTTGATTTTAATCTGATTGGTCGGTTTTTATTTGCTTTCTGTTATACTTCTGTAAATATTGTAAACATATATGGATGGGTGAGATTTTCTCATCAGTATTCTTGAAAATGATCAAATAGATCGAAACGTTGAAGAATCTCAAAATGTCTCTGTCTTTTCGGAGTTATAATAAATAATAATAATAATAATAAAATTAATAATAATAATAATAATAATAATGATGATGATGATAATAATGATGATAATAATGAAGATAATAATAATAATAATAATAATAATAATAATAATAATAATAATAATAATATTTGTAAAGTGCATAATACATGTTGCTAAAAAAAATTCCATCAGAACACATCCTTATAATTATAGTAATATAGCCTAGACCCACAAACAATTGCATCTTCCTCAAAACTGTGTCAAAATCAGGAGCAGATCCAGAAAATTTCAAACGACAGTGAGGGGGGGGGGGAGAGACAATAATCTCAGAATAGGTAAGTTAGTAGCACATAACATTGATTTGCATTGAACATTTTAAAATTTAGTGGCAAATGGTTTCTATTCCATTGTACCATTCTCTGGCTGATAAGAAATGCCTTGCTTGAATGGCTATCGACAGAGGGAGTGTAAGGTATTATATTGAATAGCTGACCAAAACCTTACCAAAAACAATGATTAATATCACATATTCGTAAGTACTTGGCCAACTTTAACGGGGAAAGCGTGAAAACGTTCAAAATCATGAAATTCAACATTATTTGTAGCCCATTATATGATTCATGCCATAACAATATAAAATAAATATGTATAGTCAAGAACTGCTTATGTAATAAGTGTGAAAAACTGTAAGAGATTAATCTAGAGGCTAATCTTTTTTTAATTTTATTTAGCCATGTATCTCGACCTGCTATGTCCCTGTAAATAGAATAAACTTCACATTGGGATGACGGGCTGCAATAGTTCGGTATTGGCTTCCTGTGCAAGCGCACAACCAATATGGCTGCCAATCCGATGTTTTTTCCCTTAGGGGGCCGCGATTTTTTTTTCCGTACGAAACATTTACATGAAACTCCACTCGGGCCGTCTCGGCTGAATCGACCCGAAAATCTCATTGCAGAATTCAGGAGGTCAAAAGGTCATCAACAAACGTCTACAG